TTTAATTTAAAATCTCAGAGGGGTTTAAGTGTCAACCTCATATGGTTCGTAATCACTCTGAAGAACATACATCGCGACATATGAACTCCCAAAAGGCTTCCAAAGAATTCGGTAAATTTGCTTCACGCGCCGGATATCTCTCTTGGAGTATGAAAAGTTCTATCGACCGAAAATCGGACTCAAACCCTCCCTTGTCCGCCATTGGCACGAATGGATGTCCATGAACTTCGGTCCCTGCTGAAGGCCTGGACAAGTTTTGCACAATTGCCGGGAAAAAGCAGACACAAATTCAAGAAAGTGCCAGTACAAGTCGAAAACCGTTCCGGCGCATGCTGCAAAGTTAAACCCTTCCAATAAGGTGGGTTTTAACGTTGCCCGTGACGTCTTGATAGATAGCAAATAATTCTAGCTCGAAGCCCGACGCAGCATAGCCAAACACATACGGCACTCCACCGTAGGACCACACCAGCGTTTTAGAGAGCTCCTCACGAGGCACAGTGATAGAAGTACGAGGTTCTTTCTCCTCACCACGAAAAACACAGATATGATCCAAAGCAAACAAAAAGTCGGGTCGCTTCAAACCTGACGAGGATTTCCTGCTCGAATCCCGGTTGATGTAAGCACGCCTAAACACAAACCCGAGCACCACACGGATAATTGAATCCCAGAAATAATGAAATGCACTCTCTGTGGCATCCCCATCCACCTGCGGGTACAGGAACGCAGCGCTAAACACCGAATCTTTTAAAAATTCGCACGGCGAAATGTCGTTTAGCTCGAACAATTTATCTCGAAGGAGTTGGCCTAGTATCAATGGACTCGACCAAGCTTGAAACACAGACTGCGGTAACCCAATCTTTACAGGGAGAGGTTGTCCGATAAATTCATTTAGATCTCCGCGTGTCGGCAGTAGCGTAAGTTTTGCAACTTCACTATGTTGAAATCTCGACAGCCATAAGTCCGTCCCATCAGAAATAGGCGCACTACTTGTCCCAGGAGGCAACGCCACCAGCACGTGAACAGGTGTGTTCATCGACTCGACATCCTCTAGCGTGGGTCACTGATTAAGCTGGCTGGGGTCAGCTTGGTGATCGAGCTCAAGAAGAAAGTCGAACCGGGCCATGTTCCTCAAGCAATTGGTCAACTTGTGAGCTGCAGCATGAAGGCGCCTCTCAATTGCTATCCGCTGAGTTTGTTGACGGATTTAAACGACCACTGGCATTTCTCTTGGTTCAGCGACAAGCACGTTCTGACCCAACTTACGTTGAAGTATCCGAAGAACGCGTTCAGATTTATCGAGGCAGCTGTACTGAGACGAACGGAGTCTGCCCCACCTCCTCCGTCATTCATGCCTGGATCTTTCAAGACAATCAAGGTTGATGACTTCTTGCCCCAGCCGGTTGATGCTCGTGCATAGGAGATGATGGAACGATACGAGTTGATGGCAGATGTGGTGGAACCAGAGTTTCTCATGGCGAGGCGGATGGATTATGCGCGACAGTTAGTCCAGTCGATGCCTATGTACTCTTACATGTATACGTAGCTCGTCGCTTCGAGGCACTATTGTGAATGAACTTTTATCGCTGTGTTGTATGTGCCAATGCTTGCCTAAATCTATCAGCGTTTTAGCGTTTCTATCCGGATAAATACTACGGTATAAAATTAATAATTAACAAAGATGGAGGTAACGTCACCTGAGCAATACCAAGAGTGCATGAACAGCGCAGAAGCGCTACTACCAGCGCACACGCGAAGCGCGCAAAAAAGCTATTGTGAATTTTTGACCAAATTCGCGTTTTGCTCTTACAAAATGAGGTCGAAATAACATGAAATTTGTTTTTTGAGTGACTCACTAAATAGGCCCCTTCTGTGACATCACCTTCTTTTCCCGCTTAGGTACGGGTGCAACAAGAAATTCTCTCATTCCAGAATCCATCGGCTCGTACGAGCGAGGCTACGACGTGTGGGGTTGTCGGATGTGGATGTCGGTGGAGTGGATGAAGACGAAGAAGTAGAAGGGAGGGGCCCTGTGAACTTGCTGGTAGTAGTTCCGGGTTAAGTTGCGAGCACTGTCACGATCGTCATTGTAGAAACCGTTGGAAGTAAACCCATGAAAGAGCTGGACTACTATCAAAAGTGCGGGGCTAGCATTCGTAAAGAGTGCAGTGATTATTGCTGTGAGGTGCTGGACAAAATAGACGATCTCTATGACATGAATGATCTCCCGCTTCCATTTATTTGTGTTGAAGGGTCGTCTGGCATGGGAAAATCGCAGCTCGCGTTCACGCTGCAAGGCTCACGACCGTGGTTTTACTGGCATGCCACCAGGGTAACTGACGCGTCACAGGCCATGTACAGGAATTTCAAGTTGATATCGGAGGCATTTCGCAAGGTTGTGGAAATGGATGACCCAGTCGCCAAGCCGATGGAGGACATTTTGAACTGCCAATCAGGGATTTACCAGACCGTGGACCTGTGGACGTGTGTTTTATTTCTGCTGCTGAAGTACTCCAAGCATCAGAGCGCACAAATGATACACTCGAGCGAGAAATCGAATTTCGGCGTAGAAATGCGCACGGTCTCAGAGATGTATATAAGCGAGGTAAAAAAGATGAAGGAGGAGAACGGAAAGCGAGTTGCCCTTTTCATATTGAGATGAAATGACACCCAACGCCAGGACATCTGTGTGAGGAAAGAGTGTGGCAGCTTTTCAACGCAATATCTTCCGCACTGGTGGTTTGGGGGGGTGATTATAGTGGGAACGGATTCAAAAATAAGCAATCTGGTTACGCAAGCAACAGGCAGCTCCACGGGAAAGCACATGTGGATGTCCATTGTTCCCAAATTTCCTCCCTATCGATTTGTGTTCGATCCAAAGGATCAGCGAGATCAAGAGGTCTGGGAGGCGGCTGTGGATTGGTTTCCTGTTGTAGAATATATTGCGGTAAATTCGCGTGGGAGATTCACGAGGTCGTTCGTGGGTGAAGTCGTAAAAGTTTTAAAGCGTGCTGCGAAACAAACAGGCGATGGTGAATAATACGACGGACCAGGTTTTAAAAGGCAGTACG